GAGGGCTCTGGTGCCCTGGAGACTGCTTGAAGAAGGGCACCCCAGCAACTCGGGGAGGCGAGGTGCTACCAGGGATGCCCGTGGCGTCGGGGCTAGAGCCTGAGCCTTGCCGGGCTAGGCCCTGGGGATGACTGGGACTGCAGCTCTCCTGCTTCAAGGCCCCCAGTGGTGGGGAAGAAACAGGGGGCTGCATGCCTGGGCCATTCTCCTGGACCAGCTCAAAGGGAGAGGGGAAAGGAGGTGGAGTCATAGCCCCTTCCCGAGGCGGAGAGGGTGCAGAGGGAGGCAGGGGATCTGGGTGCTCCCCTGGCTCAGGCCCAAAATGAGCAAACAGGTCCAAGGGAGCTTTGCCTTCCATGCCTTTTTCTTTCCAAGTGCCCCCACTGGGAGGAACAGGAGAGTGGGGGGTTCCTGGGAGGGAAGGTTCAGGGTCCCCAAAACCATTCTGCATTAGATGAGGCCCCACAGGCCCTTCCTTAGTTACCCCCACAGCCCGGGCCCCATCTCCTGCTGAGCCTCCAGCCAGGGCCTCAGACTGCTCGGGACACACAGTGTTCTTGACAATGACACTGACTACAGAAATGTCTGTCGGTGGCAGGCCATGGTCAGAGGCCGGGGCTGGAACTCCAGAGTCGTCCCCGGCAGAGGCTGCTGCTGTGTCTCCAGATTCACCTCCCACGCTGGGTTCTGGCTTCCCTGGTCCTGCTGGCCCCTCGCTTTCTTCTGGCCCAGAATGGATGGCTTCATTCGCATCAATGTCAGGGATGTCAAAGGCAGCAAGGAGGTCATCAAAATCAGGGGTCTTCATGTCCCCCATATCGGCAGGTCCCAGACCTGATGAAAACCACAATCAAGAGGAGAAACTGAGACATCTGGAAGAGAGATCCTGGAGCCCTTCCCTCAGCGTGTCCATATTTATCCTCTCAGAACCCACATGCACTCCAGCTCGGGTACACCTCCACCACGGCATCCAATCCTACAAAGCTGCTAGAGATGACGAGTTTGCCAAACCCTAAAATCAGAAGAGGGTTAGTGTCCATAACTTGTCAGGCACAAAAATCCACAGAAAGCAGGGGAAAAAAGTTCTCAGAAATACAGGGAAAGGGATTCTCAGGAGAATGAGGCAGGAGAATCACTTGGACCCTTGAGGTTGAGGTTGCAGTGAGCTGAGATCTCGCCATTGCACTCCAGCCTGGACGGAGCAAGACCCCATCTCAAAATAAACTAAAGGGAACAGGGAAGGGTTACAGAGCTCAGTGAGCATCTTGGTGGAAACAATTTCTTCTTTCAAGAGCTGACAGATGGGCACTTTTGGGGAGACAAGAGGGCTCTGGTGCCCTGGGGACTGTTTAAAGAAGGGCACCCCAGCAACAACTTCTGTGCCCAGCACAGAATGGAATCATCCATACTACTGTTAAGAAGGATGATGTACACAACGCTCTAGGTTTAGGGCTCATTCATGTCAGCATGGAATCAATTCAGATTCTTCATAGGTCTTCCAGGGCCCACAGAGATCTGAAAGGCCATGTGTGCAAAGGGGCAATGCCGTACACTGAGACAAGAAATGATCCTCATTCAACTTTATCAGGGGCCTGCGGTACAAGCAAGTTTCTTCAGTGGCTTTTGTTTTGCTGTTTGAAAGAAGACACGAATGGCCAGGTGCAGTGGCTCACACCTATAATCCCAGCACTTTGGGAGGCCATCACTTGAGCCCAGGAGTTCAAGACCAGCCTGGACAACATGGCAAAAACCCCCAGGCATGATGGCGAGTGCCTGTTGTCCCAGCTATGCCTCCCAGCTGACACGGGAGGATCCCCGGAGACAGGGAGGTCGAGGCTGTAGTGGGCCATGATCTTGCCCCTGCACTCCAGCCTGGGTGACAGTGATACCCTGTCTCAAAAAATAAGAAAAGACAGAGGACACAAGTATCTATATATCATAGGGTTATTCTGAGCATGATACGAAATTGCTAATGCAAGAATCACACTAAGAATACAATTTACTGTTCCAGCTGGGCCGAGCAAGAATATGTCAGGTCAAGGAGGAGTTGGAAAGGAATAAGCATCGGAACTCTAGGGCTGGGGTCAGAGGCAAGAGTCGGGTTCACACAGGATCACGTCTAGGGACCTGGGGCCATCACTGGCACCTGGAGATCTAGCTTGGTCAGTAGGAAGAAATGGACTCAAAGAAATTACCCAAGAGACCAAGAATACGACACAGGAACAGAAAGAGACAAAGAGAAGAGACAGAGGGGAAAATGGTGATGGCAGCATGGTCACAAGGGCCCCAGCCTAGACCTTTCTTGTCATAAACACCTGCTGCTCGCTCACTACCTTCCCCAGAGTGCCTGGCGCTCCCCTAGCCAGCCCCTCCTTCTCCACCCCTCCCCATCTTCCTCTCTGGAGGCTAAAACTCCCAGAGTACAAGCTTATCCAGCACAGCTGCCATGGTGGGGGAAAGCCAGGCTCCCTCACCCCTCATCATTTCTGCTCTGAGCTCCTCACCCTGCTCCATCCCCTAACAAACTCCTCACCCTTCAATTGTCCATGGCAACAGCAGCCTAGGAAGTCTCACCTAACCTCAACCTGGCCAAGTGCAAAAAATAAAATTAAAAATCCCACAAGGATGCACTAAACCAGCAAGGAGGCCAGCTCAGAGTCTGTGGAAGACCCAGGCCCGTCCCCTCCCAGCGTCTCCCCATGAGTGTTTCTGTATCTAGGAAGAGACAACTAGTCTATTCCCTACCCAGGTTGCAGGCTACTTCCCAGGGCCCGTTCTCCCACCTCTCTCCAGCCTTCAGCCTGTAACTGGAGACAGTACCAGCATGTGGCAGCTGGGACTGCTGGGACCAAGGTGGGGGTGGGGGGCAAGGGATACAACCAGAGAAGGGGGAAGGTCTTCCCTCACCCACCCCTCCATTTAATTCTGCAGACTCCGGGTTTAAACAAAGCCCCTTGTCTCTACACCCCCCTAAGCCGGGCTCCCTCCTGACCAGAGGCCTGAGTTACCTTCCACTCAGGTCCTCAGAAAAGCGGACTGGTACAGCAAAGAGCAGCGGGGACTAGAACACACCTGCGAACTCAACCGCCACCCCCCCAGCCACCTCCCTCTTGGGTGTTCCAGTGACTTAGAGGTCATCTGATGGCCACCCACCCTGAGCAGACAGTTGACCAAGCAAGCCGCTGAGCTCAAGGCCAAGGAGGATCAGGCCTTCCTGCGACTGCTGCGCCTGTCTCTAGGGCTCCCATCTCCCCCGCCCCCTTTCCCTCTGTGCTTCCCCAAAAGCCAAAGAGGCTAACAGGAAGAGGCTGAACAGGCCCAGGTCGAGTGGGGGCTCCATTGGCCTTTGCCCGGGCCCAGGGCCTGCAGCGCAGAGGAGGGTAAGGGGCTGGCAGCGATTAGGTTGCGGCAAGCTGGGCAGCGGGCGGAATTAAGTCCCTGCCATCTGCCGACGGCCAGCGCGGGGAGCAAGTCCTGGGTTGCGAAGAGGGGGCGGGGTGTACACAAGAGAAACTACAGGGTAAACTGAGGCGTGCGACGCTCCTTACTCTCACCTGCGTGCGAGGCGAAGGCCTGGCCTCAGCCAGGCCAGGCCCTTTGGGAACTGCTACGCAGCACCTGGGGGCCAAGGACTACACAGGAGCGGGTGGGGAGGTGGGAACCAGGGGATGTGAGAGGGGGCGGTCTCTGAGCGACTCTCAGCTCTTCAGCTGGGGTCGGTCCCAACTCGGACATCGTCCCCTCCCCTCCTGGCGCAGCGGAGCCTCCTCACGCCGCGGACTCCCGGAGGCTCTCCCCAGACTGGAGACTTATCGGAGGGTGCGCAGGGAGCCAGGGGCGCAAGCCTGAATCTTGCCCGGGCCTGGAGGCTGACCCGCGCCCAGTCAGGGTGCAGGTTCCGCTCCCGCCTGGCCCAGTTCCCCCGCCCCCATCCCCGGGAACGGACACCATTTTAGGTCGCGACATCCCGCAGCCTCCAGTCTCCGGGCCGCACTTCGGGTGCCTCTCGAGCTGGGAGCGCCAGGACTTGGGGTACAGGACTCTCCTGGGGGTTTACCCGGCTAGGGGCTGTGGTTTCAACAGGCCGGGAGTTTCGCCCATCCGTCCCAATGGACGGAGGCGGTGTCTGGGCCTTCCTAGAAGCCGCCCCAGGGGGCGGCGCGGAGAAGGGGGTAGTTGACCAAGTGGGGGAGGGGCGGGGGTATTTACCCGCCCCCCCAGGGGGCGGAGCCACGGGCGGGTATTTACCCCAGGCACGCTTACTTGTTCCGCTCCTCGTGCGGGCCGAGACCCGGCGGTCTCTACCCCACTCCAGCCACCGCCGCCACCGCCGCCACCGCCGCCACCGCCGCCCTCCCCGCGGCCGCCGCTACTTCCTGCTTCTCTCCGGTTCAGCCTCCCCACTCCCTCTCCTCCCTCCGCGCTCCGGGTCTGGGCTGCCCGCTTTCGCACTCGCCATTGGCCCTTGCCTCCGTCGCTCAGCCCTGCGCCCCTCCTAGCCCGGCACTGGGTTGGCCTTAAGTACTGCCGCTCGGAACTAGCCCTGTACAGTCCTCTTATGCTCATTGGGCAAGGGGCCGAGGCCCTCTGAAGATACCTCTCCCCATTGGCTGCGCCGGGGTCCGTCTGCCCCATCTGCAGGTCTCGAAAGCGATTGGCCTCCGCCACTGTCGCTTAGAAAGAAGCCAGCCAGCTGCCCCGCTCTCCTGCTGAAGGGGGGAGCCCCCAGGTGCGTCTCCGCCCCTGGCTCCCTATTGGCCGCTCGAAGCTTGAAGCTGATGTTCACTTTCGCGAATCTAAGGAACCCAGCTTCTGTATGGTGGGCTCTTTGAGCAGAACCGCATTGACCCGGAGTGGAGCGTGGAGGTGTAGGTCCGTTTGCGCTGTTTCAAACTAAACCCTTGTCATTGAAGCCGTGCTGAAGTCACAGAATGGGACGCCACCCCAAACATTACGTCATCCGCTGACCATTTCCTCGCGGTCTTCCCACCGTCTAAATCGCCATATAATCGGATGGATGGGATCCTCGCGCAGGCCAGCTCCTGGGCGACAGCGTAACCCGTCGCTCCTCCCTCTACGGGAGGGCCTGGACGGGGCACGAGATTTGGAGCGTGGAAGGAACCTGGACCTAAAGGTTGCGAAAGGCTTGCGGACCGGAAGCGGGGGAGGTGACGTTAGGAGTGCTGGCGTGGCCTGGGCTACTGCCAAAGAGGCCTTAAAGGGGCAACTGATAGGAGTCCTAAACATGGGCTGGAGGGGACCCTCGGCTCCATTTCCCATTTAAGAGCGCCCCTTTTCCCCGCCCCCAGCACGGAGTAGGGGGTGGGGTCAAGGTCGCGTTTTCCCGCGCTTTGTTGCCCCACCCCTTGGAGGCGGGGGAAAGGGAGGAGTCGCTCAGAAAATCAGTCTTTTTGATGCTCTAGTAGCACTCACTGGCAGAATTCATCTGCAAGCCCAGTGTGCCACCTCGCGCACGCAGTCCTTAGCAGTGTGGTTTTTATTTTTTTCAATTTCTTTTTTTGAGGCAGGGCCTCGCTCTGTCACCCAGGCAGGAGTACAATGGTGTGATCACGTCTCGCTGCAGCCTCAACCTCCCAGGCTCCAGTGATCCTCCCGCCTCGGCCTTCTGAGTAGCTGGGACTACACGTGAACGCCATCATGTCCGGCTAATTTTTTATTTTATTTTATTTTATTTTGACGAGTTTCGCTCTTGTTGCCCAGTCTAGAGTGCAATGGCACAGTCTCTGCTCACCACAACCTCCTCCTTTTGGGTTCAAACAATTCTCCTGCCTCAGCCTCACGAGTAGCTGGGATTACAGGCATGTGCTACTTAGCCCGGCTAATTTTGTATTTTAGTAGAGACAGAGTTTCTCCATGTTGGTCAGGCTGGTCTTGAACTCCTGACCTCAGGAGATCCGCCTGCCTTGGCCTCCTAAAGTGCTGGGATTACAGGCATGAGCCACTGCGCCTGGCCTTAATTTTTAAATTTTTTGTGTAGACAGGATTTCACCATGTTGCTCAGGCTGGTCTCAAGCAATCCTAGAGATGTAAGCCACTGCTCCCTACCTTGGCGAGGTTTTTTTTGTTGTTGTTTTGTAACAGGGTCTCATTCTGTTGCCCAGACTGGAGTGCAGTGGCATGATCTCGGCTCACGGCAACCTCCGCCTCCCAGGCTCAAGCGATTCTCCTGCCTCAGCCTCCCGAATTGCTGGAATTACAAGTGCATGCCACTACCTGCCCAGCTAATTTTTGTACTTTTAGTAGAGATAAGGTTTCACCATGTTAGCCAGGCTGGTCTCAAACTCCTGACCTCAAATGATCCACCCGCCTCAACCTCCCAAAGTGCTGGGATTACAGGCGTGAGCCACCGTGCCTGGGCAAACCTGGGAGGCAGAGGTTGCAGTGAGCCAAGATCGTGCCATTGCACTCTAGCCTGAGCAACAAGAGGAAAACTCTGTCTCAAAAAAAAAAAAAAAAAAAAAAGCTTAGAATGTAAACGTGCTTTGTAAAGTAATTGGCAGTCGGGATTAGTGTGCCCTTTCTCCCGGAGCCTTGTGTCCTGCGTGCTCAGTCCACCTGCATTTGCTCCCAATTGCTCCAGCTTGGTGCTCTTCCTTCTCTGAACAGCTAATTAAGGGTCCCTAACCCGATGGAACCAACAGGCATTACATTTCTACCTCTTCTTCTGGTCTCCCTATACAGAAGAACAGTTACTACTCATATACACATAATATTATGGGTGGCTCACGCCTGTAATTCCAGCACTTTGAGAGGCCTAGGTGGGTGGCTCGTTTGAGGCCTGGAGACCAGGCTGTGCAACATAGCAGGACTCTGCCTCTACAGAATATTTGGGAAAAAAAATTAGCCTGAGGTGTTGGCGGGTCCCTGTGATCCCAGCTGCTTGGGAGGCTGGGATGGAAGGATCGCTTGAGCCCGTGAAGTCAAAGCTGCAGTGAGCCGTGGTCGTACCACTGCACTCCTGCCTGGGAGACTGAGCGAGACCCTGTCTCAAAAAAACATAAAAAAAGATAGGCCGGGCACAGTGGCTCAAGCCTGTAATCCCAGCACTTTGGGAGGCCGAGGCAGGTGGAACACGAGGTCAAGAGATCGAGACCATCCTGGTCAACATGGTGAAACCCTGTCTCTACTAAAAATACAAAAATTAGCTGGGCATGGTGGCGCGTGCCTGTAATCCCAGCTACTCAGGAGGCTGAGGCAGGAGAATTGCCTGAACCCAGGAGGCGGAGGTTGAGGTGAGCCGAGATCGCACCATTGCACTCCAGCCTGGGTAACAGCGAAACTCCGTCTCAAAAAAAAAAAAAAAAAAAAGAAAAGAACAGACAAAGTAAATCAATGGTGATAGATGTAGAATTATGGTAGCCATTGCCTGGAGAGGATAAGAGGAATATATATACACACACACACACACATACATACACACACGCATTTTTGTTAGTTTTTTGTTATTTTGATACGGAGTCTCACCCAGTCACCCAGGTTCGAGTGCAATGGTGCAGTCTCAGCTCACCGCAATCTCTGCCTCCCGGGTTCAAGCGATTCTCCTGCCTCAGCCTCCCGAGTAGCTGGGATTACAGGCGCACACCACCACTCCCAGCTAATTTTTGTAGTTTTAGTAGAGATGGGGTTTCACCATGTTAACCAGACTGGTCTCAAATACCTGACCTTGTGATCCACCCACCCTGGCCTCCCAAAGTGCTGGGATTACAGGTGTAAGCCACCATGCCTGGCCCACACACACATTTTTTTTAAAAACAAGATCTTGCTCTGTCACCCAGGCTGGAGTGCAGTGGTGCAATCATGACTGACTGCAGCCTCAGCTTCTTGGGCTCAAGCGATCCACCCACCTCAGCCTCCCAAGTAACTGGGGATACAGATGTGAGCCACTGCACCTGGCAAGGAGGAGGAATCTTTGGAGATACACACACAGACACACATACCCACAGATTCATGGTGCAGCATCTTCTGTTTATAGCACCCACCACCTCTCCTTGTGGCAGCCGTCTTCTGCCTCACCCCACTCTGTCCTATACTACTCCTATCCTCATTCCTGATTATTATTTGAGACAGGGTCTCGATCTGCCATTCAGGCTGGTGTGCAGTGGTGCAATCTCAGCTCACAGCAGCCTTGACCTCCTGGGCTCATGTGATCCTCCCACTTCAGCCTCCCACGTAGCTGTGACTACAGGCATGCACCACCATGCCCAGCTAATTTTTTTGTTTTTGATAGAGATGAGGTCCCACTCTATTGCCCAGGTTGCTCTCAATCTCCTGGGTTCAAGTGATTTTCCCACAACTGCATCCCAAGGTGCTAGAATTACAGGTGTGAGCCACCACACCTGGCCTATTTTTATTTTTATTTATTATTATTATTTTGAGATGGAGTTTTACTCTTGTTGCCCAGGCTGAAGTGCAATGGTGTGATCTCAGCTCACTACAACCTCTGCCTCCCAGGTTCAAAAGATTCTCCTGCCTCAGCCTCCCAAGTAGCTGGGATTACAGGCATGCACCCCCATGCCTATCTAATTTTGTATTTTTGATCGAGACAGGGTTTCACTATATTGGTTAGGCTGGTCATGAACTTCTGACCTCAGGTGATCCACCCACCTTGGCCTCCCAAAGTGCTGGGATTACAGGCATGAGACACTGTGCCCAGCCCACCTGGCCTATTTTTTAATTTATTTAACCAACAGGGTCTTGTTCTGTCACCCAGGCTGGATTTCAGTGGTGTGATCATAGCTTACTATAATGAACTCCTGGGCTCAAGCAATCCTCCCACCTCAGCCTTTGGAGTAGCTGGGACTACAGGTGTGTGTGACCTATACCCACTAATTAATAAAATATAGGCCGGGGCCGGGTGCAGTGGCTCAAGCCTGTAATCCCAGCACTTTGGGAGGCCAAGGCGGGTGGATCACAAGATCAAGAGATCAAGACCATCTTGGTCAACATGGTGAAACCCCGTCTCTACTAAAAATACAAAAAATTAGCTGGGCACAGTGGCGCGTGCCTGTAATCCCAGCTACTCAGGTGGCTGAGGCAGGAGAATTGCCTAAACCCAGGAGGCGGAGGTTGCAGTGAGCCGAGATTGCACCACTGGACTTCAGCCTAAGCAACAGAGTGAGACTTTGCCTCAAAATATAAATTAATTAATTAAAATAAAATAAAATAATTTTAAAACACACACACATACATATATATAGATAGATAGATACAGATATATGTATATATGTATTTTTTTTTTTTTGTAGAGACCCTTAAGGACTCACTATGTTGCCCAGGCTGGTCTTGAGCTCAAGCGATCCTCCTGTCTCAGCATCCCAAAGCACTAGGATTAAAGGAATGAGCCACTGTGCCCAACCCTTACTCTTTCATTTTCTAGGACAAAAACCACAAACTGTGGGCCATGGGCTGAGCCTAGACCACACACACACACACACACACATATATATAATTTTTTTTAAAGATTATCCTGGCCTGGTGCAATGGCTCACACCTGTAATCCCAACAGTTTGGGAGGTCAAGGTGGGCGTACCATCTGAGGTCAGGAGTTCAAGACCAGCCTGGCCAATATTGTGAAACCCCGTCTCTACTAAAAATACAAAAAAAAATTAGCCGGACGCGGTGGTGCACAAGTTTGTCATCCCAGCTACTCAGGAGGCTGAGGCAGGAGAATCGCTTGAACCTGAGAAGTGGAGGTTGCAGTGAGCTGAGAATACGCCATTGCACTCCAACCTTGGCAGCTGAGTGAGACTCTGTCTCAAAAAAAAATCATCTCTTCCCAGCATTACAGTAACTGGAACATCATTGAAATCCCACTTGGCACCAATGTGTCTTTCTTTTTTCTTTCTTCCCAGCAAATATATTCTATCCTATACCAGTGTGTCTTAATATGCTAGGTAAGATATTTTAAATATCTTTGCTTCCAATTTTAAAAAAATGTTTCAATATTCTGAAAAATTTCAAACACATAAAAATAAACAGAAAAGTAAAATGAACCTCCAGGTAATCCTCAGCCAGCTCCAGCAATGATCAAATCAGGGCCAATATTATTTTATCTGTACCCTGCCCACTCAACCCTTATTATTATGAAAAGATGAGGCAAATTAAAACTGTGTGCCATCTGATACAGCGTAACGAGAATAACACACAGCATCACTGTGCTATCCCTGCCAACGATGCATAACCTGAATCCAACATCAGACAAATCCAGATTGAGGGGCAATTCAAAATAACTGGCCTGGGCCAGCCATGGTGACTTATACCTGTAATCCCAGCACTCTGGGAGGCCAAGGCAGGCAGATCACTTGAGGTCAGGAGTTCGAGACCAGCCTGAACAACATGGTGAAACCCCGTCTTTACTAAAAATACAAAAATTAGATGAGCGTGGTGGCACACGCCTGTAGTCCCAGATATTCAAAAGGCTGAGCCAGGAGAATTGTGTGAACCCAGGAGGCAGGGGTTGCAGTGAACCAAGATGATGCCACTACACTCCAGTCTGGGTCACAGAGCAGGACTCTGTTGTAAACAAACAAACAAATACATACATAAATAACTGGCCCGTAATGTTCTAAAGTGTCAGGGTCTGGCTGGGCGAGGTGGCTCATGCCTATAATCCCAGAACCTTGGGAGGCTGACACAGGTGGATTGCCCGAGGTCAGGAGTTCAAGACCAGCCTGGCCAACATGGTGAAACCCTGACTCTGCTAAAAATACAGAAAATAGCCTGTATAATGGCAGGTGCCTCTAATCCCAGCTACTCGGGAGGCTGTGGCAAGAGAATCGCTTGAACCTAGGAGGTTTCAGTGAGCCGAGATGGGCTCTCCAGCCTGGGCAACAGAGGAAGACTCTGTCTCAAAAATAAATAAATAAATAGATAGATAGATAAATAAATAAATAAAATGTCAGGGTCATAAAAATCAAGGAAAGATCAGAAACTCTTCTGGGCTAAAGGAGCTTAGAAAGACATGACAACTAAATGCAACATGAGATTCTAGTTGGTAAATCTGAGGATTAGATGTTAATAAATTAACTGTTAATTTTCTGATTTGTAGGATTGTCTTCTAGTTATGTAATGGAATGTCTTTTTTTCTAGGAAACGTACACTAAAGTATTCAGGGATAACCAGCAATTAAGTTGGCAACTTACCCTCATGATTCAGGGAAAAAAAGTGTTTTGGACTACACTCGCAACTTTTATGTAAGTTTGACATTACTTCAAAAGAGAAAAAGGCAGAGAGCACAGTGGCATATGCCTGTAATCTCAGCTACTCGAGAGGCTGAGCCCAGGAGTTGGAGGCTGCAGTGAACCATGATGGCATCACTGTGCTCCAGCCTGGGCAATAGAGACTCCAATTCTTAAAAAAGAGTTAGTGGCTAATGGTACTCTGAAATTGATGAGACATTAATCCTCAGTTTCAGGAATCCCAACAAAGCCCAAGCATGACATATGAAAATAAATCTAGGCCCAGCCTGGTGGCTCACGCCTGTAATCCCAGCACTTTGGGAGGCTGAGGCAGGTGGATCACGAGGTCAAGAGATCGAGACCATCCTGGTCAACATGGTGAAACCCCATCTCTACTAAAAAGATAAAAAATTAGCTGGGCATGGTGGCGTGTGCCTGTAATCCCAGCTACTCAGGAGGCTGAGGCAAGAGAATTGCCTGATCCCAGGAGGCGGAGGTTGTGGTGAGCTGAGATCACGCCATTGCACTCCAGCCTGGGTAACGAGCGAAACTCCCTCTCAAAAAAAAAAAAAAAAAGAAAGAAAAGAAAAGAAAAGAAATCTATACCCAGACACATTATACTGAAAATGTAGAACATCAGAAACAAAAATAAGATATTATAATCATCCGTCATCTGGGGAAAAAAAAGACTTACAAAGAAATAGCAATTAGAGGCTGGGCAAGGTGGCTCACTCCTGTAATCCCAGCACTTTGGGAGGCTGAGGTGGGTGGATCACCTGAGGTTAGGAGTTTGAGACCAGCCGGGGCAACATGGCGAAACCTCATCTCTACTAAAAATACAAAAATTAGCCAGGCGTGGTGGCACACACCTGTAGTCCCACCTACTCGGGAGGCTGAGGCAGGAAAATTGCTTGAACCTGGGAAGTGGAGGTTGCAGTGAGCTGAGATCAAGCCACTGCACTCCAGCCTGGTGACACAGCGAGACTCCATCTCAAAAAAAAAAAAACAAGAAATAGCAGTTAGGTTGATATCTGACTTCTGTACAGCAACAGTGAAAAACCAACAGTAAAATGATATCATCAATGTGCTAGGAGAATATATTCACCAATTCAGAATTCCGTATCTAGTATATTTATACATGAAGATGAAACAAGGAGATTTTACACAAACAAAAGCTGAGAAAGTTTACTACCAGCATATCTTCACTTAAAAAACTATAGGATTTAGGCGTGGTGTGGTGGCTCACACCTGTAATCCCAGCACTTTTGGGAGGCTGAGGCAGGTGGATCACTAGAGGCCAGGAGTCTGAGACCAGCCTGGCCAACATGGCGAAACCCCATCTCTACTAAAAATACAAAAAAAAATTAGCTGTGTGTGGTGGTGCACACTTGTAGTTCCCAACTACTCAGGAGACTGAGGCAGGAGAATAGCTTGAACCCAGGAGGTGGAGGTTGCAGATGACAGTGAGCCACTGTGCTCCAGCCCCGGTGACAGACTCTGTCTCAAAAAAAGAAATAAAAACAAAAACAAAAAACTATAAAAGAACTATAGGATTTACTTCTAGAAAAATAAAATTATCCCAGAATGAAGGTTTGTGAGGCAATAATTGGTGTGAAGAAAATTAGCAAATTTGTGGGTAAAGCTAAATCAACATTGCTTATATGAGACACTAGTGAAAGTATCTGGCCAGGCCTGGTGGCTCACACCTGTAACCCCAACACTTTGGGAGGCCAAGTTGGGGAGATTACTTGAGGTCAAGAGTTCAACACCAGCCTGACCAATATAGAGTGAAACCCCATCTCTACTAAAAAATACAAAAATTAGCTGGGCAGATTGGGCTAGAATAACCTTCTCAAAGAAAATTAGAGGCTTGGATGGCCAGGAGCAGTGGCTCACGCCTGTAATCCAGCACTTTGGGTGGCGAGGCAGGCAGATCACAAGGTCAGGAGTTCGAGACCAGCCTGACCAATATGGTGAAACCCCATCTCTACTAAAAATACAAAAATTAGCTGGCATGGTGGTGGTGCGTGCCTGCAATCCCAGCTACTCCTGAAACTGAGGCAGGAGAATCACTTGAACCCGGGAGGCGGAGGTGGCAGAGGCACCCACCACCACGCCCAGCTAGTTTTTATATTTTTAGTAGAGACAGGGTTTCACCATGTTGGCCAGGCTGGTCTTTTTACGCCCCCGCCTCCCCATTCCCAGGCTGGTCTTAAACTCCCCTCAAGTGATCCACTCGCCTCAGCCTCCCAAAGTGCTGGGATTACAGACTTGAGCCACCACACGCAGCCCAAAAAAGCATTTCAAGGAAGGAAAAGCATCATAGTGACTCATCTGTGACTCATTTATATAATCAAGAGAATGTAAATTCTGAATAGTCCCTTAACCCACATTTTCATATAATTATATGAGGGAAATGAGTGAAGGAGAATGAGAAGATGGAGCAGGGGAGCCCTCATATCCATTCCACTGCTAGAAATCAATGCAAAAGATATAAAGTAAAAAGTTAAGGTTGGTCCAAGTGCAGTAATGTTTACAACCAATGGATTACAACCAGGTACAGATTTATTTGTTCCTTCTTTGTTTTTTTTTTGTTTTTGAGATGGAATTTTGCTCTTGTTGCCCAGGCTGGAGTGCAATGGTGTGATCTCTGCTCACTGCAACCTCTGCCTCCTGGTTTCAAGTGATTCTCCTGCCTCAGCCTCCCATGGGATTACAGGCATTCGACACCACACCAAGCTAATTTTCTTTTTTTTTGAGATGGAGTCTGTCGCCAGGCTTGAGTACAGTGGTGTAATCTTGGCTCACTGCAACCTCCACCTCCCAAGTTCAAGTGATTCCCCTGCCTCAGCCTCCCAAGTAGCTGGGACTACAGGTGCATGCCACAACACCTAGCTAATTTTTAGATTTTTAGTAGAGACGGGGTTTCACTATGTTGGCCAGGATGGTCTCAATCTCTTGACCTCGTGATCTGCCTGCCTCTGCCTCCCAAAGTGCTGGGATTACAGGAGTGAGCTACCACACCCGGCCCACCAGGCTAATTTTTGTTTTTGTGTTTTTGAGACAAAGTCTCACTCTGTTGCCCAAGCTGGAGTGCAGTGGCGCAATCTTGGCTCGATGCAACTTTCACTTCCGGGTCCAAGCAATTCTGCTGCCTCAGCCTCCCGAGTAGCTAGGACTACAGGCATGTGCTACCATGCCCGGCTAATTTTTTTGTATTTTTTAGTAGAGACGGGATTTCACTATGTTGGCCAGACTGGTCTTGAACGCCTGACCTCACGATCCACCCACCTTAGCCTCCCAAAGTGCTGGGATTACAGGTGTGAGCCATCATGCCCAGCCTATTTTTTTTTTTTTTTTTTTTTGAGACAGAGTTTTGCTCTTGTTACCCAGGCTGGAGTGCAATGGCGCGATCTCGGCTCACCGCAACCTCCGCCTCCTGGGTTCAGGCAATTCTCTTGCCTCAGCCTCCCGAGTAGCTGGGATTACAGGCACGCACCACCGTGCCCAGCTAATTTTTTGTATTTTAAGTAGAGATGGGGTTTCACTGTGTTCAGGCTGGTCTCAAACTCCTCACCTCAGGTGATCCACCTACCTTAGCCTCCCAAAGTGCTGGGATTACAGGCGTGAGCCACTGTACCTGGCCAATTTTTGTATTTTTAGTAGAGACAAAGTTTCTCCATTTTGGCCAGGCTGGTCTCGAACTCCTAATCTCAAGTGATCCACCCGCCTTGGCCTCCCAAAGTGCTGGGATTACAGGCATGAGCCACCATACCCAGCCAAATTTTTAAAAAGTTAAAACTTTAAAAATAAAAATAAATTCAATGTTCATGCTAAAATTTTTAGTTTAAATACTAACAGAATAGAAGTTAATTTCAAACACGTAGACAGGAAAAAAAAAGGAATGAAAGGGGGGAAAAAAACTAAAACAGTTCAAAAGAAGTCAAGAAAGTAGGCTGGACGTAGTGGCTCTTGCCTGTAATCCAGCACTTTGAGAGGCCAAGACAGGTGGATCACAAGGTCAAGAGATTGAGACCATCTTGGCCAATGTGGTAAAACCCCGTCTTGACTAAAAACACAAAAATTAGCTGGGCATGGTGGTGAATGCTGGTAGTCCCAGCTACTTGGGAGGTTGAAGCAGAAGAATGGCTTAAACCTGGGAGCCAGAGGTTGCAGTGAGTGGATATTGGCCACTGTACTCCAGCCTGGGTGACAGAGTGAGACTCGGCCTCAAAAAAAAAAAAAAAAAAAAAAAAGGCTGGATATGGTGGCTCATGCTTATAATCCTAGCACTTTGAGATGCCAAGGTGCCCAGATCACCAAGTGAGGATTTAAAGACCAGCCTGCCTAACTGCCTAACACAATGAAACCCCATCTCTACTAAAAAAAAAAAAAATTAGTTGGGTGTGGTGGCAGGCACTGTAATCCCAGCTACTCAGGAGGCTGAGGCAGGAGAATCTCTTGAACCTGGGAGGCAAAGGTTGCAGTGAGCTGAGATCTCGCCTCTGCACTCCAGCCTAGGCAACAGAGCTAGATTCTGTCAATCAATCAAGCAAGCAAACAAACAGGAAATCAATAAGCCAGGCATGGTGGTGTATGCCTGTGGGTCTCAGCTACTTGGGAGGCTGAGGTAGGAGGACTGCTTAAGCCCGGGAGGTCAAGGTTGCAGTAAGCTGTGATCATGCCACTGTACTCCAGCCCCGGGGCAGAGTGAGACCCTATCTGAAAAAAATAAAATAGAGGTCAGGCGTGTGGCTCATGTCTGTAATTCCAGCACTTTGGGAGGCAGAGGTGGGCGGATCACTTGAGCTCAGGAGTTCGAGACCAGCCTGGGCAATGTGGCGAAACCCTGTCTCTACTAAAAAATAGAAAAATTAGCTGGCCATGGTGACACATGCCAGCCACTTGGGTGGCTGAGGCAGGAGGATCACTTGAACCTGGGAGGCAGAGGATATAGTAAGCCAGGATTGTGCCACTGCTTTCCAGCCTGGGCAACAAAGTGAGACCCTGTTTCAAAAAAAAAAAAAAGTAGCATTGGCTTAGGAGAAGTGGGTTAGGCAGTTATTAGGAAGGATATACTCACTGCAGGCTGGAAAGCTGGTAACCATTAGTACCTGTGAGGCACTTAGCCAGATAGTTCCCTGTTGTGCCACAGAAAGCCATTAAGGCTGGACGCAGTGGCTCACGCCTGTAATCCCAGAATTTTGGGAGGCTGAAGCAGGCAGATCACTTGAACCCAGGGGTTTGAGACCAGCCTGGGCAACATGGCAAACCCCATATCTACAAAAAACACAAAAATTAGCTGGATGTGGTGTCTCGTGCCTGTCCTCCCAGCTATTCAGGAGGCTGAGGTGGGAGGATTACTTGAACCCCTAAGGCAGAGGTTGGAGTCAGCCAGGATCACACCACTGCACTCCAGACCCTGTCTCAAAAAAAAAAAGAGGAAATAACACATATGACTCTAGCAAAGAATACACTCTCTGCCTAGGGTCCAGACCCCAAAAAAGCAATAATAGAAAAGCTGACTGAGAGTTTGATTATTTGGAGACTGCTGGCTTGAAAAAGCCAACTGTTTAACTGGAACTGAAGCGATTAAGATGGTAACTGCTGAACAGCAGGAGATAACACTGTGGTCCCAAACAGTTCTCAAGCTGCTTCTGTTCAGAGCATTGTGACTGATGGGCATGGTGGCTAGTAGCTGATGCTGAGATGGGAAGATTATTCCAATCTCCTTGAGTTCATGGCCAGTCTGGGCAGCAAAGCAAGACCCCACCTCAAATATTTTTAAAAAGTTTTGTCACTGCGATGGTGCAAGTCAACCAGCAAAGATCAGATTAACACGGTCGTTTTCCCCTTCAATCTACCTTAATCCGAGATTTAGGGGGCGATCATCAGAACACAGAGGCCAATATGCAAAATATGAGAGTTTTTAGGCTTAATAATATATGTAAGACCTTTGGCTATAGTAACTCATGCTTGAGAGTTGACAGGATGGCTACAATTTCAGGAAATTATGTTACCAAAACAAACTAACAAAAAAAACCCCACACCTGTCACACAAAACGAAAACATTTTGGATTCCAAATGCATCCCTCTAAAGTGGCTGCCAATAGTGTGTAGCCTTTAACGAAAGTGTTAACCACAGAAACCTCCTCAGATGGGCCATGAGGGCTGAGGGACAAGGAACAACCTGAGGGCAGAGCCAGGGCCCTGAAGAACGGAGATTTTCCCAGGGGTAGAACCAGCGGAAACCAGGTAGACTCACCCAGCAATTCACCCCTCTGTCAGGGCAAGTCATCCTCGCCCCCACCCCCAGATTTGCTACAAACTGTTGTTCTGGTGATCTAATGCTGTGTAATGCATCACCCCAAAATTTGGTGGCTTAAATAACAATTATTTTATTATGCTTATTGTTTCCATGGATCCAAAGGGCTTGACTGGGCACTCTGGCCCCAGGCATCTGGCCCCAGGGATCGTAGGCAGGCAGTGACTGAAGCCGGAGCAGGTAGTGACTGACTGGATCTTATTTTTTTTTTTTCTCATTCACCTAGGTGCAAGTGGGCTAAGGCCAAAAGAGGTGTTAGCATTTTTTCTTTTTTTTTACTGGTTTGTTGTCAAATGGATCTCACTCTTTTTGTATATTCTCAGGGCTACTTAATGGCCACTTCCCCGTTCCCCGAATGCGGCTGATTTGGGCTTCCTCACAAGATGATAGCTTTAGGGCAGCTGGAGTGCTGAGCTGTCCTAATTGTTCCAGAAAACAGGGCAGAAGCTGCATCACCTTTCAGGCCCTAACCTCAGAAGTTACAAAGCATCCCTTCTGCCACACTCGGTCAACCAACTGCAGGCACCTTGAGGTCCAAGGACGGAACGCAGACCCCACCTCTCCATGGGCTGTCTCCTGTGCTTTAGACTGTGGTCGTCCTACTGTGCATCAGGTGTGCTGAGAGCTGATAACGTGTCTTCGGTTTATGGGTTGCGGAACCACAAATAGCCGCGTGAGGAACTAATAGAGAGACCTTGAGTGGCTGACGGGATGTGCTGCTCCAGAGTCTGGTAGTTACCTAAGAAAAGCCATTCTCTTCTTCCTTTGAGAGGGGAGACTTCCTCACCTCCTTCTATTTCACCTCCTCCCTCCCCGGCTTCCAGATGGGAAGGAGGCTAAAGGAAAAAATAAATAAAATAAAATACCAAAGAGCTGGGAAAATAACTCCTTTTCAGTTCCCAGCGTCTCTGCTATTTGTTAACCTTCGAAGAGCTGCAAATGAATGTTATCCCTGCCGGCTGGAGCCCGGCACTGGGTCACACCCCCAGGTGGGTCTCCACGGACCAGGCTGCCTCCTGGAAACACCTCTGCCAACAAACAGCTTGTTGCTTTTGTCTTGTCTCTATAAGCCCCCTCCACTGCTGGTCCCCGCTCATGCTGCATATGAATTAGCAAATCAATGAAGCCAAAGATTGTGAGGTTGGACATCCAGCAAATGGACAATGACATAGTTCTGCCTCAGTTTCCCCTTTATCGTTGTAAGCCTATAAAAAGGGAGAGAAGGCCGGGCGCAGTGGCTCATGCCTGTAATCCCAGCACTTTGGGAGGCCGAGGTGGGTGGATCACGAGGTCAAGAGATCGAGACCATCCTGGTCAACATGGTGAAACCCCGTCTCTACTAAAAATACAAAAATTAGCTGGGCATGGTTAGCTAATTAGCGGAGGTTGTGGTGAGCCGAGATCATGCCATTGCACTCCAGTCTGGGTAACAAGAGCGAAACTCCATCTCAAAAAAAAAAAAAAGGGAGAGAAGCTACAGTTTGGGGAGCTCAGTGAATGAGGCTGTAGCCCCTCTCAGCTCCCAGCCAAATAAAAAGCCACTTTCTTCCTCAGTTTTGTGTTCAAGAGGTTTGTTCCCTGCCGTTCTTGCTTCACCTTAATAAAAGAATCCTTATCTTTTTTTTTTTTTTTGAGACAGAATCTCCCTGTCACCCAGGCTGGAGTGCGGTGGTGTGATCTTGGTTCACTGTACCACTGCCTCCCAGATTCAAGCAATTCTCCTGCCTCACCCTCCCAAGTAGCTGGGACTACAGGTGCCCACCACCAAACCTGACTAATTTTTATATTTATAGTAGAGAAGGGGTTTCACCATGTTGGCCAGGCTGGCCTCGAACTCCTGACCTCAGGTGATCTGCCCGCCTTGGCATCCCAAAGTGCTAGGATTACAGGCATGAGCCACTGCATTCGGCCTGTTGCTCTTCTTTCACCCTCCCTTCCCCTCCTGCCTCTGGCTTCTCCAGAGTTGAGATGGTACGAGGAAGGAAAGGAGTCAATTTTACATGACAGGGGCTCACGGAGCCCTCTGTGTGACATGGTACCTAAATGCTGGCCTTCTCTTGGGTGGGGCATAGTTGAGGTTCCCCAGGTCTCCTACAGGGACCTCTCCACTGCCCCTTTCTCTGGCATCTGCAGTGCACTCTCCAGTCGACCTCTTGCACAGTACTCTGCCCTTTTGCCCCATGGCATCTTACCATTGGCATCTTCTTGCCCTGCAGGAACTCCTCTTGGGCAGGTTCCATCTGGATGGCTCAAGCTTGGGTACTTTCCATGCTATCCTCTTGGCCCATGGGAAACTCCCACATTCTTAGCATGCCAGGTGCTAAAAGTAAAGCCTACCCACTAGTGCCACCATTCCAGGTCTGGGCTCCAGCCAACCTCCCACAGTCACCAAGCTGTCAGCAGACATTTGTCTCTAGGTTCACTTACATCTCCCAAATACCAGTAAGTTCATGTCAGGCTCTTCCAGAACGCTCGTTCAGTGACTTGTTTGTGGTCTTTGACGATGCTGGGTCAGGAGTTCTGCCACCCAGGAAACATCCAGCCAAGGACTCAGATGCCCATCTCAGTTTCTTACAGGCACTACCAATCTACTGGTACAGTCGTACCTTATCCTGCAACTTCCCCTCATCCCTAAAGAACGAGAAAGCAGGAATATCGAAGCACTCCAGACAGGTCAGCACCAACAACAGCTCAGCTCCATAAGAGTGCTCTTTCCTGTGTCAAATGTGTCATCTCACAGAGGCTGCAGGTGGCAGTGGGGGCCATGGCAGCTGGAAGAGTTGTGCTGTCCTTTGCATGGCCAGAGAAGTATTTTTCTACAATGCGGGGGCACCTGTATGCACTTCTGTCCTTAAGACTCAGCTCAAACTCCAACACAACCAGAAGAGCCTTTCAACATCTTGTTACACATACATACCACCTTTGATTTCCACAACCACCTTATGAGTTAGAGGAATTAGGTAACTGAACTTAACAGAGGAGCTGCTAGTTACAGGTAGTGAATTGAGCTTCTCTCTGCTCACCCTAGAAACCACATCAAATTGAGAGTAAAGAAGTGAAAAAGGTCAGGCATGGTGGCACGTGCCTACAATCCCAGCTACTGGGGAGGCTACGGTGGGAGGATCACCTGAGCCTGGGAGGCCAGGGCTGCAGTAAGCCATGATCACGAAACTGTGCTCCAGCCTAGGCAACAAAGTGAGACCCTGTCTCAAAAAAAAAAAAAAAAAAAGACATAAAAAAGCAAAAGGACAAAGAGAAGACGAGAGCAAATGAGAGATCTGGTTTGATAAATGGAAAACCAAATGTGCAGGATAACTGATTTAAGTTTGGGTATTTTTTTTTTTTTTGTGACGGAGTTTCGCTCTTGTTACCCAGGCTGGAGTGCAATGGCACGATCTCGGCTCACCGCAACCTCCGCCTCCTGGGTTCAGGCAATTCTCCTGCCTCAGCCTCCTGAGTAGCTGGGACTACAGGCACACGCTACCATGCCCAGCTAATTTTTGTATTTTTAGCAGAGACGGGGTTTCACCATGTTGACCAGGATGGTCCCAATCTCTTGACCTCATGATCCATCTGCCTCAGCCTCCCAAAGTGCTGGGATTAGAGGTGTGAACCACCAGGCCTGGCCAAGTTTGGGGATTTTTTTCCATTCTACTCATGATGTACAGAGTGAAGAGCCAACAAAGAACAAAATAAGTCTTAGAATAAAAGGCTCAAAAACAGAAAAGTCCTTGGACCTCTAAAAGCAGCGGAAGGAGGACTGGAAAATTCCTTTTTGGAGAATGACTGACTCAGGAGAAGAAACTGACAGGAACTCAAAGGTTGCTCCCTCTCTTCCTACTCCCAGGGAGTCCCACATCTGAGTCTCTGCCCACCCCACCCATGGAGTTCCCCTCTCTTCCTACTCCCAGGGAGTCCCACATCTGAGTCTCTGCCCACCCCACCCATGGAGTTCCCAGGCAGCTCTCTCTTAAGTGGGGACAGACAGTGAAGGATCATCTGAGAGTTGAAGGCAGCCTCCAACATAAATGACAGAAGCCAAAAGAGCAGGAGCCAAGAGAGTAACAGATAATGAAGGGACCAAATGAAAATATCCCGGAACTGCAATTACTATCCTTAGAAATATAAGAGAAGATTGGCCAGGTGCAGTGGCTCACGCCTGTAATCCCAGCACTTTGGGAGGCCAAGGCGGGTGGATCACGAAGTCAGGAATTCAAGACCAGCCTGACCAAGATGGTAAAACCCCGTCTCTACTAAACATACAAAAATTAGCCAGGTGTGGTGGCGGGCGCCTGTAATCCTAGGTACTCGGGAGGCTGAGGCAGGAGACTCTTTTGAACCTAGGAGGCGGAGGTTGCAGTGAGCCAAGATTGCACCACCGCACTCCAGCCTGGCGACAGAGGGAGACTCTGTCTCAAAAAATATATACTGCACCCATGATACAAAAACAGGATGCTTTAAAAAAAATTTTTTTTTTGAGACAGTCTTGCTCTGTTGCCCAGGCTAGAGTACAGTAACGTGATCACAGCTCACTGCAGCCTGGACCCCTGGGCTCAAGTGATACTCCCACCTCAGCCTCCTGAGCAGCTGGAACTATAGGTGCACTGCACTACAGCCAGCTATTTTTTTTTTTAATTAATAAAACTTGGGGGAATGGGGTCTTGCCATATTGCCCAGGCTGGTCTTGAACTCCTGGGCTGAAGTGATCCTCCCACCTTAGCCTCCCAAAGTGCTAGGATTACAAGCATGAGCTACCATACCCAGCCCTGGTTTCTTAATAATACCCCCTGAAAACTCGAATCCAGGCCATGGACAAGGTGGCTCATGCCTGTAACCCCAGCACTTTGGCAGGCCAAGGAAGGTGGGCCGATCGCTTAGTCAGGAGTTCCAGACTGGGCAACGTGGTGAAACCCTATCTCTACAGAAATATAAAAACCAGCCTGGCATGCACCTGTAATCCCAGATACTTGCAATAGTGAAGCAAGAGGACTGCTTGAGCCTCAGAGATAGTGGCTGTAGTGAGCCTAAGCCATGTTCCTGCCACTGCATTGCAGCTTGGATGACAAAGCCAGACCCTATCTCAACAACAACAAAGATTCCATGTTGGCCACAGTGGCTCACGCTTGTAATCTCAGCACCTTGGGAAGCCAAGGCAGGTAGATCACGAGGTCAAGAAATGGAGACCATCCTGGCCAACATGGTAAAACCCTGTCTCTATTAAAAATACAAAAATTAGCCAGGCACGGCAGCACGTGCCTGTAGTCCCAGCTACTTGGGAGGCTGAGGTAGAAGAATGCTTGAACCCGGGAGGCAGAGAGTGCAGTGAGCTGAGATCGTGCTATTGTACTCCAGTCTGGGCAATAAAAGTGCAAAACTCAAAAAAAAAAAAAAAAGAAGAAAAGCCGGGCGCAGTGGCTCAGGCCTGTAATCCCAGCACTTTGGGAGGCCGGGGCGAGTGGATCACGAGGTCAACAGATCGAGACCATCCTGGTCAACATGGTGAAACCCCATCTCTACTAAAAATACAAAAAATTAGCTGGGCATGGTGGCGCATGCCTGTAATCCCAGCTACTCAGGCGGCTGAGGCAGGAGAATTGCCTGAACCCAGGAGGCGGAGGTTTCGGTGAGCCGAGATTGAGCCATTGCACTCCAGCCTGGGTAACAAGAGTGAAACTCCGTCTCAAAAAAAAAAGAAAAAAAAAACCTCTAAAGTATAATAGTCTATAGTAAACAGTATAGATAACGGCTAAAATGGAAAAATTAAGAAATAGCCATATAAATTCATTCTTTGGCTCGAAGTAAGTAAGTACAGAAAGAGCTGAAGAAGTTAAAATTGATTACTTCTGGGAGTAGACTTCAAGCATGCGGAGGGATGGGGCAGGACCCTACCAATTTTTATTATAAGTCTGACTTTTCAAACTATATAGGCTAGGCACAGTCGCTCACACCTATAATCCCAACACTTTGGGAGGCCGAGGTGGGAGGATCGCTTGAGCCCAGGAGGTCAAGACCAACCTGGGAAAGATAGACCCAGCTCTACAAAAAAATTAAAAATTAACCCGGCATGGTGGTACACACCTGTAGTCCCAGCTACTTGGGAGGCAAACGAGAATCACTTGAGCCTGGGAGGCAGAGGTTGCAGTGAGCCAAGACAGTGCCACTGCACTCTGGCCTGAGGGACAGAGTAAGACTCCGTCTCAAAAGAAGAAGAAAAAAATTAGCTGGGTGTGGTAGCCTTAGTCCCAGCTACTCAGGAGGCTGAAGCAGGAGGATCCTTTAGGCCAAGAGGTTGAGGCTACAGTGAGCTATGATCAGCCTGAGTGATAGAGCACAGACTTTGTCTAAAAAAAAAAAAAAGGCTGGGCATGGTGGCTCATGCCTGTAATGCCAGCATTTTAGAAGACTGAGGTGGGTGGATCACCTGAGGTCACGAGTTCAAGATCAGCCTGGCCAACATAGTGAAACCCCATCTCTATTCAAAAACAAAAAACCTTTTTTTTTAAAATTATAAATGAAATAGATGTTCCTTATGAAATAATATTTAAACACTACTATATAAAGTCTCAGGTTAAGGTTACTTGTAGAGTGGACCTGATGCGTTTACACTGAGAGGAAAACATCAGCAGAGTGTTCGGGACAGCAAAGGTTCGGGAGACAGCATAACTGATGCAGGGAGATACTGGCCAAGGGAAGCGGGCCAGAGCTTCCCGCTCATGGCCTTGACCCTCTGTAAAGGTGTCAGGCTTCTGTTGAGTGATGGGGGAGTAGAGGAAGGTAGAGTGGCTGCTACAGGGAACTGACTTGCAGGGCTGACCAGGGTCACTGAAGGCAGCTGAGCAATGGGAAACTACTGTTTGATGGTGACTCAACTCCTGGTGAGACAGGTCTGAGACAGGTCTGGATTTTGATCCTGGCTCTGCCTCTTCATTAGCTAAATATCCTTGGCCAAATAACCTGAACTTGCTGAACCTTGGTCCACATGAAAAAAACTGAAAAGGCTGAGTTCCAGTCCACACTTGGGGTTTAGCTGTGTGAGTGCAGAGTAAAAGTTACTGGCAAGAAGGTGGTTTAAATGAGGTCTTCGCTAATTAGAAATGGAAGCACAGCTCCTGGGCCTGGAATCCGAGCACTTTAGGAGGCCCAGGCAGGTGGAAGCAGAGACATGGAGAACTCAAAAAGGAAGGCTCTCCTTCAGGCCGTGGATTCTTCCCTCTTGCAATCAAAACCATCACTATCTGAAGCAAAAAAGGAAAAAAACTTGCCAAGGTTTATTTTGGCTGTAATGGTTACAGGTAACACTCAGGTAACCTTGTACTCCGTGCCTCCCATGCAGTCCCCTGAGCAGGCTCCGCTGCCCTTTCCCTCCAGTCTCACTTCTTGTCTTCCTCTTTCTTGTCCTTCTTGCCGTCCTTGGTGGCCTGGGAGGCCAGGGAGCCCATTGCATTTCGAATGGCTTCATTGTTGGGATCCACACCTGGGAGGTTCTCTAGAACACTCTGAAGGAACTCGGGGTCCTGCATCACATCGTAATCATCCTCCTCCTGCAAACAGGCAGTGTGAGCTCAGGGCAGGGTGTGGAGCGGCAGGGAATAAGCAGGTGTGAAGGACAGGAGCACACCGCTACCTGAGCCCCCCGCTGCTTTCTGACTGTGTAGGGACATGGGCACTTCTGGCTGAGGCTAAGGAAAGGACAAGTCAGCAAAATCCTATATACAGCATGAATGCAAACAGTTATTACTAACCAAACAGAGGACGGGCCTGTTGAGAACTCTGCTAACTGAGCTCTGAGGAGGAAAACAGACGCCATCACATTCAGGTTTCCTGCTCTCATGACACCCAGTCCTCTATTTTTTCTTTTTCCCAGACCCTCTTTT